TAACGTAATGCGATTAGCGCCGCGCTGAGCTGCCTCCATATGGAAAAAGTGCGGGTTCCCCCTCAACCCCGCCGTGTATTTTTAAACAGACGAATTGCAAAAACTGGTCCTGGAGCAAATGGAGCTGAGGAAAAAACTGGAGAGGGACTTCCAGAGCCTGAAAGGTACAGCAGATCCACCCCCCCACCTCTCACCCCTCCCGGGGAGCGGTGCTGACCCCCCCTTGTCCCCGCAGATAACTTCCAGGACCAGATGAAGCGGGAGCTGGCGTACCGGGAGGAGATGGTGCAGCAGCTGCAGATCGTCCGAGGTATGGCATTAATTTTATTTTTTTAATCTCCTTTTTGTCTCTCTCCTTTGATTTTTTTCCCCCCTTTATTTTATTTCATTTATTTAATTTTATTTTTTTTTAATCGATATCTTCCCCGCACTCCCGTTAATCCCGGGGTTTCGAGCCGCCCCGCAAACGGCTGCGGGGTGGGTGTCATTCCCCGGGAGCGAAACGGACCTTCCCCCTCGCACCAATTTCCACCCGGGCTCAATTAAAAAAAAAAAAAAAAAAAAACCCAAAAAAAAAAAAAACAAAAGGCGTAAAAAGACCGGGGAGTTAGTGATTATTATCTAAGTGAAAATGGCTACAGACGCAACAGGGAAAGTCATGAAATGGAAAACAAACAAGCAAAGTAAAACTGAAAATCTATTGACCGATCAATGAGGTGCATATGTTTCTCCAGGAAAAACAAAGCAGGATTTAGGTCTATAAATAAGACCGAAAAAAAAAAATAAAAAAAAAAAACAAAAATAAAAAAAAGAACAGGCGTAAAATGACCTGGGAAGCTATTCCCGGCTTTGTGCGCATCCCGCCCCGCGCTCCCCCCGTACCCTCGATTGCGGAGGAGCGCGGTGCCCCTTGGCCCAGCGCATCCCCGACGGGGCGGTCCCCCCCCCAAAAACCCCCCCGGCGCGTTGTGATGCTCTCCCCCATCCCAGATACTCTCTGCAACGAGCTGGACCAGGAGAGGAAAGCGCGTTACGCCATCCAGCAGAAGTTGAAAGGTACCGGGGGGCAGGATGGGGAAGGGAAAAACAAATATCTAAGGCGAGGG